AAGTCGCGGGACTTTAATGAAGCAATCGTTAAAACTTAAATTGTGCCTCAGTGAGTTTTGCCAGCGTTGGGTATTTTTCCGATAGTATGGAAATCTGTCGGTTATAAATTTATATATATCGCTCAAAGGAAGCATTTTTTCCGGAGAGCTCCAAATAGCCATTGCTGTCAGCGATATATATGAATACGGAGGTTTCTGATCACCGTAGGACTCGCGTGAAGGCCTTGGCATTATTTCAATACTCTAAATTTTTCGTTATGATTAAAAAAAAAAAACCAATGCAGTCCCGTGTTAAATTGATTATTTCGAGTTTACAAACTTTCATTTGATGATGAACTCCATTGTTTAATTGAATCGCTTTTTAGACGGCAAACACAAAATAATCGAAGTATCGAAGTATACTGCAAGCACATTATCTTAGCTGCCAGACTTATTTGTAAGTAAACAGTCCGTTTTTGCGACGGCAGCAACGGTACGCGACCTCGCGTTAATAATCGTCTCAAAAATACTACGCTTCCGATAAGCTTCAGCAAAAGCACAACAACACAGAATGTAAAAGCGCTCTCCAATGTTTGACCGGTCTGGCGAATTACCATCTAAAGCTGAATACGAATACGTGAGCAGCAGTGGCAACTTTGCAGTGAGGTTGAAGCGAAGATAACGACAGACCCGAAGCAAAACAAACGAAGAACCCGACTCACATAAAACAAAATCACTCTTACAGCATACTAACAGACGGCGTGTCGGTTATTGTACTAAGTGAGCAATGCAGTACAACCAACCACAGTGAGCAATGCAATCAAAATATAATCACTCACATCATTGCCCCCGTGCTCTCTCCCAATCACCGCCATGCCGATGTATCATCCCTCTGAAACGGCGAAACTTCAAAGAGAGAGCCGAGAAAAGAGTCAGAGATTTACTAAACGAACCAAACCAGTTTGGCCAGACCACACTACGCCAATACTATGGCAAACAAGACGATATATAGTAGTGGGGAGTGTCTACAGACATGGCTTAGCGACTACAATAAACGACTACACACAAAAACAAAAAAGACCAGCCGCCCGGCAGCTGACGACCCAATATGAGCGCGAGGTGTTGAAAAAGAAAATTACATCCACTTTAGCGATTTACTGATTTTACGTTTTCATAATCTTGTTAGTTAATTTGGCTGGTTTGCATCGATTAGTTTTGAAGTTCTTCCAGTATTGTATTGAGCGTTGTACTCCACTCTTTTGCAAACAGCTATACCTATCCGTATATGTATGCTTTTACATACAGGCATATACACATATATATATA